AGTTAAACCTTGAACAGATAACAGAAAACTCTTGTGTTTCTTTACTTCAGTCTCTTCAAGCCTTACAGATTCTTCAGAGTGAGATCCAGGTTACAATACAGCAGGCTCAAGGAAAACCCTTGGCAACATTCCAGCCCCACGGTTTCAAGCCAGGAGACCTGGTCCTGATATGCTTGGTTTGCTTGCACCAAGGGTTTGACTAAATACATTCCCAAATCAGTCTTGGCTACCCAATCTACCACTTTATTTTGTGTCACCATGAAGTTGTTCCACAAGCCTTGTATTATAATGAAAAAGGGGACTGTGAACATCTAGGATTAACCACTGAGCACTATAGGAGTAAACAGGCTGCCCCCATTTTAGTGCCCATTCTGGTGGGATTAGGAATAGCTGGGTCAGTGGCTATTGGAACTTCCTCCCTGATCCTTCAGGACACAAATTTTAAAGCCCTAAGCCACCAAGTAGCCAGAGATTTGGGTCACCTGAAAGACTTGATCTCCAGATTTAAAAAACCAGGTTGATTCCCTAGCTGAGATGGTCTTGCAAAATCAAAGGGGACTTGACCTCCTGTTCATAAAACAAGGAGAGTTATGTGTAGCCCTAGAAAAAAACCTGTTGCTTCTATCCTAAGCAGTCTGTTGTCATTAGAGATACCTTAGCTATGGTCAGGGAAAATTTAAAGACTAAATATACTCAACAAAAGGATCAAAATTGGTTTCAAAATTTATTTGACTGGTCCCCATGGTTAACTACCCTACTTTCTGCTGTAGCAGGCCCCTTAGTTATCTTACTTCTGCTTTTGCTCATGGAACCTTGTATTATAAATGCTCTAACTAAATATGTTAGACAGAGGGTTGATGCAGTTAAACTGATGGTGTTGAGACAAAGTTATGAGATTTTAGAGGATATTTTAGAAGAAGAATCCAAAGAGTAAATACAGAAATCAAAGATTTGATTAAGTTACAAGAACCAGTGGGGAATGAAGGACCCTAGTTAGCAAGACAGACTCCATATTGCTGCTTGACCCACCTGCCTGCCCTTTAGATGAACTCAGAAGGAGGAAGCTTAGAAACCTCCTCCCCTTAGAAAGTCTCTTTAGAAAAAACAATTAATCAACTGTTGTTTTACAAATGTTCTAATGGCAGGACGTTCCACTTCTGTACCTTTTGCTTGCTTTGCTAGTTCTATCCCATAGGGGGGGCCTAGAAACTGCTGGCCTCAAAGGAGTATAAAACATGTTTGTCTCCCCCCAGTTGGGGCTCAAGTCTGATGCTCGGCTTGCATCCCGGCTGGTAATAAACTCCTTTGTGAATTTAATATCAGTCTCTGGTTGGTTCTCTCTTGCTGGGTGTAACACTTCAAACAATCCCTGCTACCCTTAGAAATGAGATGGATGGATAGTAGGACAATGCTGCCTGATACAAGTGTTCCTAGAATGGATGATGCTGAAAGATCCCCTCATCACATTAAAATCAAATATAAAAATCTCAGCATTTCACCCTGAGGGTGGGGTCTTCTCTTTGATTAACCTGCTGCTCTCTTGCAGTGTAGAGTCTTCTTGTCATATATATATATATGTGTATATATATATATATATGTGTATATATATATATATATATAAATACACATATATATATAATTTTTTTTTTTGGTACCAGGGATCAAACTCCAGTCCTTGTGCTTGTGACTCAGGAGGCAGAATCACTGAGCTACAACCCTGGCCCTCTTGTCCTATATTGTTGACTATTGGTAAATTCTTTGTACTACCTGCAGTAGTGGCTCTACATGCACCATGCACTGCATGGCATTTCACCAAATCTAAAGGGATGCAGAAAAAGCACTTGGAAAAATTTGATAGCATTCATGATGAAAAATCATCAAATACAAAAAAAGGGGGAAACATCCATAACCTGATAAAGGGCATCTGTAAACAAACAAACAAAAAAACCTAAAATCAAAATTACACTTAATGGAAAAAGACTGAATGATTTCTCCCCAAGGCAAAAAAAAAAAAGAAAGAAAAAGAAAAAGGAAATCTCTTCCCATTCCTACTCAATATTGTATTGGAGATTTTGGTCAGTGCAATAAGAAAACCAAACCGGAAAATAAGAAATGAAAGTGAGCCTTGCCGGGTGTGGTGGCACATGCCTGTCATCCCAGCACTGTTGAGGCTAAGGCAGGAGGATCACTGGGAGTTTGAGGGCAGCCTGGGCCACATGTGAAACCAGGATAAACCCAAGAAATGCCACCTTGGCCTGTAGATGAACTCCCCTCATGCCCTTCCCCTTATAAAGTAGATGTTTTTCTAACTGCTTGTTCTGCTTCTGTAAACTTGCTTCATTGCTTCTCGGAAAGAGATAGTGCCTGGTGCCTCCCTTTACTGTAAATTGCCCTAACTTGATAAGACAGCAAGACTTTTGCAACTAGTCGAAAACATGCTAGCCTCCCTTGAACGTCTCTTCTTAAAATAACACCTATAACAGCTATGCTGCTATGACACCCTATATAAACTGTGCTGTTCCTGGACTCAGGGCTTCACTTCGCTTAGGAAGTGGAGTCCGCGCATGCGTGAATAAACTCCTTTCAGTTTTAACTTTGTCGTTGGTCCCAGTGTTTGGTGATTTACCACCTCGCTCGGTACAACACTACATAGTGAGTTCAGAGGCAGCCTGAACTACAAAGCGACAACCTGTCTTAAAAAAAAAAAAAAAAGTGAGCCTATCACCAACCTGATTATGTAAACAATCCAATAGAATGTGCCAAGAAAGCTCCTTGAAATAATAAATGACTTTAATTTGGGTAGAAGATACAAGGGCTACCATCAAAATCAATTCTATTTACTGAAGAGACTGTAAAGAGGAGAAATAAGCACAGAAAAAGCACTCGTTGGCCAGTAGGGAAGCTCGGGCTTGAGCCCCCTCGCGGCCTGAGGATGGAAGACCGTGGGCAGACAGCAGGGCTCCCGGCCCTGGCGTCACCTCGAGCTGCGTTCTCTGGTGAAAATTTGTTAGCATCTCTCGGAAGACGCCACCGCAGATGACGTGCTTGCTTGATAGCACCTCAGAGAGAGAGCCCGCAGCCACCTAGAAAGCTTTGCTGTGCTCACCACAACGGCACATGTTTCCTCCTGGGTCGCAAACAAACAACTCCCGCCCGCACAGTCAGCTGATGCTGCTGGTCGGCCCTGCCGCGGTGCGCATGCGGGGCGCGACCTCAGCGCCCAGGTATCCCGCCCCCCCCAGAGGGCTGGAGGTAGCGCCAGTGTTTCACACGCCTCTTTTTTCTTTTTTTTTTTTTTTTTCCAGTACCAGAGATCAAAGTCAGGACCTTACGCTTGCCGGGCATGCGCCGCTCCACTGAGCAATATCGCTGACCCTTTCACATTTCTCTTAATAAGCACCAGATGTGAGCTGATGTTAAAGATTTATCATAGACACAAAACTGAAACGCTGTGTGCGACGGCGCAAGCCTGCAAGGCCAGCAATTGTGAGGATTTGTGAAAAATAGGCTTAGTCTTTTCTGTCAAATGACAAAGTCACAGCAACTGCATTTTGGATTTAAATGACTAGGCCATCTACTCGCTACCCACCCCTTCTGTGAATATCCCGAGCTCCCTAAATGGTGACTGTGTACTTTTCCCAGAACATAGCCAGTTCCCAAGATAACAGCCAAAGATTTTCTGTTCCTAACTGTTCATCCCCTCTAACTTACCCAGAAACACACGACCCTCTCCCTGTGCCACTGAGGTTACACCCTCGAGAGATTGATTGTGAGCCTTTGAATTCAGCCAATGAATTTGAAGTACAGAAGCTTCCCACGATTTAGGGCTTAAAACCCCAACTTCCCCAAACAATCAGGGTGACTGGTACGTCATTGCTGGGGTGCTTGCAGCCTCTTGAAAAGGCAAATGCCTCATGGAGATTTCTTCATGTCTGAGTGCTTCATTATCTGCATCAACAAAATGAGTCTGGGTACTTATTTCCAACAGGTTGAAGCAGAAAGAGAGTGAGTTTCAATTTAGTCTGGACAGGTGCCAGATTTGGTCCATCAGGTCACAGACACCTAAATGCCTAGAAGGGAGCATTTACAAGTCTCCTATACATTCTCTCAAGCCAACTATTATAAACCAGAGTATCACACGACTCCACATAATATTTTCCTTCCAGGAATATTAGTGCTGAAAGCAGGAGAATTTGAACCTGTGAGGAAGAAACTACTGGGCATGCAGAGCTTACAGGCTCAAGTCCTGATGTGTCCCTGCCTCATCACCGAGAGGTGCCCAAGTGGATCACACATGGGGCTCCATTTCAGCAATCATTCTAGCCCTTGGGCCTGGCAATATGTTTCTGTTCCACATTCAGGGTTTTTTATGATCCTGGATGAAGTATCAAGTTTGTGTAAGGGACCTGGAATGTTTGCTTCTCTTCCATCTTTATTCTTTTGCAGAACATCACAATTATTTAACTCTCTTTCCCCCATCTACATAAGAATAGTATTCCTTTTTCAAGGGGAATATATTCATTTTCTTGAATGGAAATGAGTAGACTGAGACCCTGTGAAAATCTTGACGGTGAAACCTGCTGCCTCCTTCCCACGTATTGACCTGTCAAGCAGCCAGCCCTCCCTCTATTCCATTGTGTCCTCTCCTGTGCTGCACGCACAGTGTTTTCTTACATCAGGGGATTGATTCTTTCACAGCACACCGCCCATGGACCCTTCTGAGCATTCATGGAACCCCATTTCAGGAAGAACACGCTAAGTCCATGAAGAAAACTGGGGAGCTCTGGAAAATCAGGAGTGCACTGCTGAAATGCACTTATTGTTAGGGAGGTGAGGTTGCCATCCTGGGAAAGAGCCCAGTCCAGAAGATCCTGGGTTACAGTCTATCATCAGAGCGCTACCCATGCAGGCAGGAGTTGATTTCTCTCCTCTCTCTGGGCCCAGAGGGGTGGGCCCTGGAGCACGAGCCAATCAGCGATGAGGAGGCGGCTGTATGAACTGTCCAATCAGGTGGGCCCATGAGGAGCGACTTCCGGTGTGGTGGCGCCCAAGCAGGTGTCCCCAGTGGGGACGCTGAGAGCTCCCGGCGGGGTAGACCACCTTCTGTGACTGCTGCCAGCTGCAGGCTGCAAGGGAAGGACTCCGGGACCGGGAGCCACGTGATGGTGATGTTGTGGGGCTAAAGCCGGGGGGGCGCGGCATCGGGGTGAGGCGTGAAGGACGGGGACGCAGCCGGCTGCGGGGAACTGCGGGGAGCTGCGGGCTCCCTGCTTGGCTCCAGACCCTGACAGCCTCCTGATTTTTGGTGTTTTTGTGACATTTTCCGTTGCCTGGGTCAGAGTTAGCTCCGGGTTCCCTGCATCCTGTCCCTGCTGTGACACTGCCACCCCACAATGACATCTTGTGTGGCCCCTGCACAGCCTCATCTACACCGGTCTAGGACAGCGAGGGCCTTGGGGAACCCTTTATTCTAGTATGGGTTGCAGCTGGGTTCAGCTATGATGTGCGTTTGGTGGGCTAGAGGGGAATTTTTCGACAAGTAAGTTTAACAACTCCTTTTGGGGAAGTGACCTGCTTGAAGGGGAGCTTAAGGGAACAGGCTGTGGCTTACACAGACACAGGCGTGAAACCGCAGGCTGCCAGCTAGGCTGTTCGCTGTGACACAGGCTTTGTCTTCTCCACTTCTGAAAGGGCCCAGTCCCTCATCTAACCCTACCTGTAGGTCTCAGCTGCCCCCTCATTAGGAGAGCCTTTATTGGAAATGAGAATAGCTCACCGATTTCTTGGAAGCATCCTGAGTGGGTGGGCCTGTGCCTGCTCAATCCAGAGCTCATTGGTAACCAGAGTACAGTAATTTCTCAATCATGTAATGGCCGCCTATCACAGGTGACTCCGTGTATTTAAAATGCCCATTTGAAACTCAGGTTTCAAACCCATTTTCTTACTGTTGAATGTTTAAAGGAAACTGGGATTCTAGAGAAAAACTGGTGACTTTGTACTTGCAGTTCCTGCAGACTCGGGAGCCTGGTAGGGCGCAGCTGCAGCTCCTTGTAGTACAGAAGGCTCCTTCCATGCTTCCAAGAAGAAGTTCATTCTTGTCTTCTGTCTGCAGTTCACTGTCTATTCTTATTTTAATTCTCATCTCTATGCCTTTTTACCCAATTCTATCTACAGCCATTTTCCCTAGCTAGGTGCCTTATTCTTAAGGTAGCTAAGTAAACTTTTGGGGAGGGGGGTCACTGGGGATCGAACTCAGGACCTTGCACTTGCAAGGCAGGTGGCAGAACCACTGAGGTGAATCCCCAACCCTAAATAAACTATTTTTTTTTATAATCAGAGTAATTAAATGAGGCCTTTCAGAAAGTTTAGAATGCTGAGAAAAGTGGAGGGGATGTTAATGTATTACCACCATGGAAAAAGGTAGTCTTTTCTGTCAAAGAAAATAATTAAAATAATTCCATTTTATAAGAATACCTTTTTTTTTTTTTTTTTTTTTGGTATTAGGAGTTAAACTCAGGACCTCTCATTTGCCAGGCAGGTGCTGGGCTGCTGAGCTACATCCCTGGCCCCAAGAACACCTATTTTTGGGCCGGGGATTTGGCTCAGTGGTTTCACCACCTGCTGTGCACGCACAAGGACTGGAGTTCAATCCCCAGTACCCTGGTACCAAAAAAAAAAAAAGAATACCTATTTTTGTAAAGTTCTATTTTTGTAAAACGTTCATGTGCTTGTTTCAACATTTGAAAACTTGAGACACAGGGCTACCTGCCTGTCCCCCTGCATAAAACTTTGTACCAAAGGGCTTTCTGGATCACGGAATTTACTCTACCTAGTAACCATGACCTCATTCCACTGGTTAATTGGGTTAGATTGTGAGGCCACAGTCCCACTACAGAGCGGGGTGGGGGTGGGGTGGGGGACAGTGATGACCATGTGCTTCAGGGATAAAATGAGCCAACTCAGAGTGCTTGCTTGCCATCATCTGGCTGTACACTCTTCTGCAGAAGTAAAGTTTGTCTTGAGAAACTTGAAAGCTTATTCTCTTTCTTCCTGTTTGCAACACAATAGAATTCATGCCCAACACCAAGGAAGGGAGAGGGTTCTTGTTAAGGACAACTTTCTGAAAGGGCTGCCTGTTAAACCCTGAGAAACACGTTGAAGTGGGGAATCTGCATGGACATAGACATATGATATGGGCAGTGATGGAAAAGGAAAGGGGTGTCATCCCAGAAATATTTGCTATAGTTCTTGCACTGTTTCTAGACATTGATTAAAATTGAAAAAAAATTTTTGGTTTTATGAGACAAGGTCTCCCTATGTAGTTCAGGCTGGCCTTGAACTTACTTTGTAAGGCAAAGCTGACCTCCAACTTGCAGGAATCCTCCTGCCTGAGCTTCCCCAGTGCTGGGATGACAGGCATGCACCACCTCACCTGGCTTAAAACTGAAAGGTTGATTGAGATGGACTTTGTATAAAACAAGCACCAAGGGGCTGAGGATTTAGCTCAGTGCTGCCACAGCTGTCTTGCAAGTGCAAGGTCCTAAGCTTCCTCCCTGGTATCAAAAGGGGGGAAAAAACCACCAAAGTAAAGATAAATCCCCACAGTTAAGGTCTACAGGCATATGAATGAAGAGGAATAAAAGGGATGTTTGAGAGGGAGGAAAAGGGGGAGTGAAAGGGAAATGAGAGAGCCCGGCAGCGAGGAGAAATCAGCAACTACAAGAGTGAGCTCCCCCTGAGGTCAGATTGTTCTTAGTGTGACAGTACTTAAAGGATTGTGCTCTATCTTGGCCTGAGAGGGGATCAGAGGTCACAGGCCTAAAGAAAGGAGGAACCTAGTAATACAGTGTAAATATGTCTTCTGTTGTTATTGATTGGTTCACCTCACCATTTGTGAGGTAAAATTGGAAATTAGGAAACTAGTTTTATAGGATTAATAATAGGATGGACATCATCATTGAAGTAGAATGGGAAGAAGTTTCTCTTGAACACAAAAGATTTTAATGGATATTTAATGTTTTTTATTGTATTGTGGACTGAATATAGGAATTTGCTCTAATCCCACATCCACACCCATTTTTCTTTTTTAATTTTTCCATTTACCCTGAGCTACATACATTTTTTATTCTTTAATATTATTATTTAATCATGATAGTGAGTCTCTGTGATGTATAAGCTGGGGGTTGAATTTGGTGCTGCTGCCTCAAGCTACGAGAGTGGTGTGAATAGAGGTGTGCACAACAAAGCCCAACAAAGCTATGGTGGGCAGTTTACAATTACTTCTATTTAAAAGATCACAATGTGGGGTTAAATTACACATCATCTACCATTTCTTTTTATGTCCAAAATATTGTGATTTGTGTCCTTAGAGAATGTGCATTAACCAGTGTAAAATCAATCTTTAGATTCTCCACCTCTACATAACTTTATAAATTTCAGACAAGTGGTATGTAGGTCCACTAATTTTTTAAAAATGATAATTCTCCCTAGAACCTGGGACAAAGAACTTAAAACTTATAATTTCCCAAACAGTGTAAATATCTGCAAATTTTTATAATATGCCACTTGAAGACAATTATTTTTGGAATCTGATTTTGTGGCTGTGTATTAGAACTGGGCTCTGAATCTAACAGAATTGTGGTAACTGTGGATGGTATGAGAATTGAACTTTGGGCCCACATCCTACTGTTGGAGAATTTCTTAATGTTCAGCAAAAAATGACACATTTGACTTTTGTTGTTGTTGTCTGGGTTTTTTTGGTTCCAGGGATCAAACTCAGGATCTTGTGCATGTGGGGCATGTGGGGTGCAACTGAGCTAAATTCCAGGCTGCACATTTGAATTTTGAAGTGAAATTTGGAAAAGGCACAGTTCCACATTCAATGAATGAGTGAGTTGTGGTACTTTTCAGAATTCAGCCTGTGAAAAATAAACACTTTTACCCTGGGAGAATGGCTAGATACTTGTGTGGAAGTTCCCAATTCAAATTTCCTGGTATTGCATATGTTTTTGATCACCTGGGAATGAGACACCCTGGGTACATGGAGCATAATGAGAGTGCAGTGTAAGCTCAGGAATGTGTTTGACATTCTGCAGTGTGTTATGTTTCTTTCAACGTTGCTTGTTTTAATTAATGCATGGTGTTTGGAGAGAAAGGGGTTGCTGTAGGTGATCTGGAAGTCTGGTTTTGAGACTTGTTTACATGTCTTCTCATTTCTATGGGGGGTGCTGCTGGCGCCCACGCGGCTCACCTCCTGTGTGCTGGCAGGGGTGGTAAGGCGGCCTGGAAGCCTCCTCTTGTGTGCTGGGAGCAGCTCACTTCCTGTGTGCTTGGTTTTGTTGCTTCTTTAATTTTTTCAAAAAGATACAATGATGCCGTATGCAAGTGAACATAATTTTATGCACTCCATTTTAATGTCAGTGCTTTTTTTTCTATCTTTTGTTTTCTGTGCATCTACTGATATGAGACAGATTTTCTTTAGGTTTTTCTTTTTTTGGTAATGGGGATCGAACTCGTGACCTTGCACTTGCGAGGCAGGTGATGGAACTCCTGAGCTACATCCCCAGCCCTTCTTTAGGTTTTAATGTAGTGGATGGCAATTTATTATTCAGTAGCCCATTTTTACCTACTTTTACTAATTCTCATTATGTTCTATAATCCTGGGTGAATATTGAGCATGAGAATTTGCAATTATTTGTTGAGTGATTTTCATTTTTATCTTGCTGATGTTTTGCTGGTTTCTGATGTGGGATATTTGAATATCAAGTTGAGTTCATTCTTTTCTAATAATAAATGCCTTGTTTTAAATTTCTCTGGGCCTGGGGATGTAGTTCAGTGATTCCGGCGCCTGCCTTGCAAGCACAAGTTCCCAAGTTCTATCCCCGGTACCAAAAAAAAAAAAAAAATTTCTCTGGGAGTTCCCCAAAATGATAATATGTAGATTCAAATTTGTACATTATGAAATCATTAATAATTTCACAAGACATTCTTTTGACACATAGTCACTTAAAATTTGTGATCTAGTCTCTACTTTTTTTGGTACCAGGGATCAGACTCAGGACCTCGTGCTTGTGAGGCAGGCACCAGAACCGCTGAGCTAAATCCCTGCCCCAATCTCTATTTTTTTAAAGTTTTCTAGGCAGTTTTCTGCTATTAGTTTCTAATCTGAATATCTTTCCACTATGCTTTGAGAGCTTACTTGACATTATTTCCATTTCTTTGGAAATGTTAAGGTCTTTGTTGTGGCATCATTGATTTGTCATGGTAAATATATCTTGTGATTTTGAGAATACTGTTTTCTCGGCATTGGTTAGAGGGCATAGATGAATTATTCAATGAGTCTACTTGGTGACCTTGATTTTTAAGTATATTATTATGATCTTTTGCCTTGTTCTATTATGGATTGAAGTATTTTTTAACTTTAGGAAACATTAAAGAATCTCTGAATTTCCCTTCAATTTCAGTGTTCTTTGGTGTCATTTGGTGCTTTGTTTAGTAAAATCTTTATAAAGCATTATTAGTTCTTGAAGAACTGAATTTTATATAATCATTTGATCATGATAATCCTTATTTTCTTTTAGGTACAGATCGAATATTTTGTGTGCATTAAGTAGCTTAAATGTCCACCTTGTCTTTCTCTGATGTTCTAACCCATCCTCCTTCTCATGGCCAGCATGCTGCCTGCACACTGCTTGCTGGGTGTCTGGAGCCCTCACATTTGCAACTGTACTGCTTTATTAACTGTTCCCAATCTGTAAATTATCTCTCATTTTCCAATGTTAGAACATGGGCAAGCAAGTATAAATTAACTTTCTTTCCATATGGCAATTCAGTGTTTATATATTTTGCAATTAATTTTATTCTCAAAAATGCTTTAGTTGTGACCGGGGATTTAGCTCAGTGGTTTCGCCACCTGCTGAGCAAGGGTGAGGACCCAAGTTTGATCCCTGGTACCAAAAAAACAAAAATGCTTTAGTTGAGATTTAACAATAATAACAACAACATAAAAGAACATTTTAAAACTGGGCCTTGGGCAGAGTTAAGAGTATCCAAGTGAAACCTTATTAGACTCATCCTTGTCTTCCCTATTTATTATGCTGTTTTGTATAAATTTACCATCTGTAGTTGTCACTGTACAGTATTCTTTTAATTTTACCACCTTGAAATATTCAATAAGTGAGTTCTATAGAAAATGCACAGAAAAGCATTAGATGAGGTTTCTTCATCTGTGTTTTATACATGGTCATGCCTGTGTCAGGAGCAAAGTGTTTTCTTCTCCACATGATTGCTTTTTCAAGTTTATCTTTTATAGATCTGAAAAGAATCACATTTTTCTCCAGACACAATAGCACAGTGTATTTTCTGGAATTAGAATGAAGTCACTGGTCTGTAGATTATAGTATACTCCAAACTAGAGGATATGGCTGTGGAGTGTACCACTTGATCCTTTATTTTGTCATAACTCTACCTAGTAGTTGTGTCTTTCCACATCTCTACTTCCTTTGCCTATTTCCTCAGACAAGGTTATGGATCTTGTTTTCTATCTGGTGTTTTCTCTTGAGCTTTATATGTTTTATTCTTATTTCTTATGTGTTCATTTTTTACTTCATACACAATTTCTTTTCATTGCATACACTGAAAATATTTTTTTCATTTCTTGTGTCTTTTACTTCCCATGATTTACATAGGTTTCAATTTCTCCCTCTGATTCTGGCAGCTTCATGATTTTCCTCTGGGGAAATGCTTCACTTCCAAAAGATATTTCATTGTGAACTCTTAAAGTGTTCAAGTTTATCTTTCCTGCTTCAAGATGTAATTTAATTATTGTACAAGACATATGTAGAATAAAATACCTGTTTCCCCCTCCCTCCTATATTAAACAGATTATTATTTGTGCCACTTTGTAACGTAAGAGCTCTATCATGAATAAATATTCTATTATGAGTTGTACATAGGTGTCACCCCCAAAGCCTCATGCAGTCATAGGTGGGGTTTTCAGGCATGGCTGCATCTAGAGTATGTGATACTAGGATTGATTGATTGTGCAATGCTAGGATTTAGAGTGTGAATACTACCTGGGTAGTCTGGATAAAATATAACAGAAAGCTGCAATTGTCACTTGCCAGTTACTGCTTGCTGCTTTTGCTGCCTTCTGCCTGCCATGAACTGTTTCTCCTCTGCAATGCCCCTCTGACATGGCACCCTGCCTTGGAGCCATCCCCTTATGCACTGAACCTCTACAAACTGAGAGCCAAAATAAACCTTTCCTCTGTTAGTTTTGGGTGTTGTGTATTTTGTCTTAGCAATGAAAAAGGTAACTAACACATACAGTATTTGCATGTGAGCCCATTGAAACCCCTCTTGCTAAATAGTGGATTTTGAATCTCTTTACTATATATTAAAGAAGTTGTCATTTTTGAAGGTGTATTTGGAAGTGACAATAATTTTTCATTTTTTCCTTGTTAGTCCCTGTTAAGTTTGCAAAATATTGGTGATCAGTACATTTAATATCTACTTTCATCATATTCATCCCCTCATTTCTCTCCTTTATGTCACCATTAAGGTCACTGAGCCATAGGATAATATGGGTTCCTTAATCTAGTTTCATTGTTCTTAGACATTCTCTAATAAAAACAGTTTTTTCATTAGCATTCCAAATTATCATTCTGTAATTTTGTTTAGTTTTCAATTAAGGCTTCATTTATGAAACCACATTGAAGTTTCAACATGCTGCCTAAATAGAATCAGAGAAGCAAGGGATCCATTTGCGAAATACTAAATTGAGGCCAGGGATTTAGCTCCGTGGTTCCGCTGCCTGCCCCGAAAGTGCAAGGACCCAAGTTCGATCCTTGGTACCAAAAAAAAAAACAAACAGCTAAATACTAAATTGAGAAAAAAAGATAGTTTCTATGACCTCTCCGAGTAATTCTTTAGATATTTATCTACCTTTTTTCACTTGGATTCTGATTTTGTAGGCTTCCCCTATGAACCATGATGTAATGACAGAGTACAGATAAACCTGGACTTAACCAGCAGGAGCATCAATGTTCCCATTCCACTGTTGCTTTAACAGTGAATTCCAATGTAACATCAAAATTTCTGTGTGGAGGGTCTGGGGATTTAGCTCAGTGGTTCTGCTGCCTGCCTTGTAAATACAAGGTCCCGAGTTCAATCCCCGTAACCAAAAAAAAAAAAATTTCTGTGTGACATGTGCATATGGATGAAGAATGAGTGTTTGATGACCAAGACATGAAGTAATCATGGGCAAAACTCAATGTCATATCAGATTTTTATGCATAGGGATGAGATGTTTCATGTTTGAATTTCATTCTTCTTCCTGGAAATACATGTCTGATGACTTAGGAGGCAGTGACCTTTGAGGATGTGGCTATGAACTTCAGCAGGGAGGAATGGGCTTTGCTGGATCCATCCCAAAAGAAGCTCTACAGAGATGTGATGTGGGAAACCCTTAGGAACCTGGCTGCCATAGGTAAGGAAGATATGATTTTCTCATGTATGCAATCAGACAGTGTTAGTTGCTGCTTACCAGTGCAGCCTCTTTAGTTGGAAGATGGAAACAATGATGTATCTTCAAAGCATGGTCACCTTGTGCGATGAATCTAAGTAGAATGTACTAATTTTCATATAATGCAGTAAGTTGTCATTATATTTCTGTTTCTGCACTTTAGGAAAAAACTCAGATGAGAAGCAAATTGAAGATGAGTTCAAAACTTGCAGGAAAAGTCTAAGGTAATTTGCACTCCTGAGAAGAATGTCCCTCAATTGTAAGAATATTAAAACCAAGCAAGTTCAGGGCCAGAGATTTAGCTTGGTGACACTGCATCTGCCTTGGAAGCACAAGGTCCTGAGTTCAATCCCCAGTACCACAAAACAAAACCAAGCAAGTTCAGTCCCCAGTACTGGAAAAAAAATAAAATAAAGCAAAACAAAAGAACCAAGGAAACTATACAAACAAGGCCATATTCAAATTTCTTTAATCTCACAAAATTTCTCCAAGGACTTATACAGATTGAATATCTCTAATCTGACAATTGAGTATTTGAAACATTCCAGTATCTGAAATGTAGATGGTACTGGTATTATGCCAAAGTTACATCTTTGATCCAATGTAAAAGAATAAACAAATTATTTTCAAAATTATAAATATGTTGATTGAAATTGCACTTAAGCATTGAGTACAGGAGTATATAAAACAAATTTTATGTATAGAATGAGAGCCGTTTAGATATCTAATTATATATATAAAAGTGTTTTGTTTTGTTCTTTTGCGACTGGGGATCAAACTCAGGACCTTGCCCTTGTGAGGCAGGTGCAGCACCACTGAGCTAAACCCCCAGGCCCATAAATATGTTTTAAAAGATCACTTTCATATCAAACAAATTATATAAGTAATTCTATAATACTATATGTAATTAAATGTGTATACATTCAGTGTTTGAAAAAATTAACATTGTGGACATATTCAAAACACAAATGAATGTCACTGTTTTGATCATAGTTATTTCCAAGTGTTCTCCAAAACACACAGTCCATTCATGTTCCAAAATATTAGAAAGCACATGCCCATATTATTGGTGGGACTGTCAGTGTGGTATAACATCTATGGAAATGTGTATAGAGATTCCACTGAAAAGCAAAAATAGAAATTCCATTTTATCCAGCTATAGTTTTAATACATATATAATTAAAGTAATCATACTACACTGATGTATAAATACAGATTTTTAGCAGACTAAGAAAAGCTAAGCTCTGGAAAACACTAAATGCTGATTCACAGATGATTTGATTAAGGAAATATGGGATAGCCTGGGCATAAAAGGGCAGGCTTGGAATCCTAACACTCTGGGATACTGAGGCAGGAAGATCATATATTCAAGCTCACCATGGGAAGCTTAATGATTGATGAGACTCTGTTTTGAAATAAAAAATAAATAAGCCTGGGAATATATCTCAAAGCCAAAACTCTGGGTTCAATTTTCAGCACTGAAAAATGTGTTATTTACACATAATGGAATGGTATTCATCCATAAAAAAGAAGTGATGTAATTTGCCAAAATGTGGGTGGACCTAGGACCCATAATGTTAGATTAAATAAGTTAGACACAGAAATTTCAGTATCAGAAGTTATATTTTGCATGAGAATCCCAAAACATGAATTAAGGACAAAAACAAAGGAGGGATGGTAGAATAGAGAGAAGCAGACATTTTGGATGGGTGAAGAAGCTCAGTGGAAGGGGGAGGGCATGGAGTCATGGAGGAAAAGCTACCAAAAGGCATCAGTATATGGAATTTGTTTTATCAAGATGTATTCCAGGACAGGGATTTAGCTCAGTGGTGCCACCACCTGCCTTGCGAGTGCAAGGTCCTGAGTTCGCCGGTACCAAAAAAAGATGTATTCCAATTCCTCAGAATGAAAGTATTATATATTACAGATGTGTCAGTTACAAACTCTTAAATGAATCTGACTGTTGTTGTAAAAGCTGTTTCCAAGCCATTATCCAGAGTGTACACTAAGTTAATGATTAAATATTCTTAAAGGACATCAAACCAGAACTCTTCATGGTAAATCATAATAACTAGAAAGACACTTTTAAATGTGATTGGTTGTTTTGTTACTTTTTCCTTTTGCAGAAGTGAAGAGGGAGAGAAATCCTGTCCATATAAATTATGGTACGAACATGGAGAAATGGTTGTTCAGACTCCAGATACTAATGCATACATGAAACTTGTTTGTATAAAACCAGGTGAAAGTTTTTCCTCTAGAAGGCCCCTGATTGGTCATTTATCAGCAGATGGGCCAATCATGGCTAACACTCAACTCAAATCATATGAGCAGCATGGATTTCAAGAGAAGCTGTCTAACTGTAACAAGCATGAGACAACTTGCACAAAACTCCAGTCCTTTCAGAAATGTGCAAAGACAATTTCAGGGGAGAAACCCCATGAATATATGTCATGTGGAAAATCCTACTGTGATTGTACTAAAGAAAGTACCATTGAAGAGGACCCATTTGCATATAAGCAAGATGTGAAATCATTCCGTATACCCAATGATGGTCAAATCAGGGGAAAAAGCCACAGTGAAGTAAATACATATATATGTATACCATGTGGAAAAGGTTCTAATTCTCACCATGGTATTCAGACAGATGAAAAAGCTCACATTGGAAAAAAAACCTATGTAGGTAAACACTATGGAAAATCCTTCACTAACAACAATTCTTTTGGTAATCATGAGAGAACTCACATTGGGGAGAAACACTATGTATGTAAGCAATGTGGGAAAGCTTTCAGCACAAAATATAATTGTCAAATACATGAAAGAAGGCACACTGGGGAAAAACTCTATGTATGTA